GGAAAGAGAGAGAAAACATTTTATTGAATATTGCAACGTGCATTTCTTTTTTTCACTTCTGTTTGATTCACTTTTCACCGACAAAGCCTGGTCAGGAATGCTCAACACAAACTGTGCCTCATTGTTCGAGAAGGTTCGCAATTGTTGTAGATCGTTCTGTTAAGAGCACACGCAAGACGCGAACACGCGAGCTTAATCTAGAGCTTACATGACGACCAGAGATAAGGCCGGAATACCGATGGCACATGTATAAATGCCAACGAGCTTCACCGCTTGTCAGTTCATCGACAGCTGACACTCTGTTCGCCACTATCAGTGGCAATGTGTATCGCAGTCACAAGTTTGGCCAAATAAGCAGTTTGATCTTCGACATACAGTCTGCTACCTTTGTCGACGTCATGACCATGTGACAACATATATAACCGAAGCATGTGCAAGAGAATCCTAGTCCGGGTTCCTTATGATGATCTCGGCGACCACCCAAGATCACTGAACCAAGGTGACTGCCAGCAGGCACCTTTAAAATTTTCTTTGAGGGGCCCAACCTAAGTTTACTAAACAGCCAGTTCTGCTGCTGCTGTGGGAGCCACTCCCTTCTGCACTTCATTGCTACATTACACCTCTAAAATTACTATAAGACACATTCGAAATACAAACTGCAGTGACATGGTGAAGTTTTGTTTGATGACTAAAAAGCCTTTGGCAGACCACTACACTACCATACTGTGACAAATGAACATGCATGAATACGCTTAAAATGTGTGCCCCGATAATGCGTTAATCAGAGAATCCAGTTTTGCCAGGCATCTCATCACACATGCAATAAGTAAATTAAAAGATAAATTTGTATTTCAAGAAACACAAGGCATGCCTAAAACATATATTTAAAAAAATTATATTCTTCTCTTATGGAATAAATTACATCTTGTTTTCAGATAATGCACACGACGCTGAATTTGGATAGTTATGACGCAGCAACAATTCAATTTTTTTTTTTTACGAATGCATATCTTGAAATGCATGTATTGGAAACTGAGGAGGGTCAATGCATAAACAAAGCACAAGCACATCATGCTAACTTTACTTTGGGTCTGCAAACAAAAATTACTGTAAAATTAAGCCAGTCTCAACAGCATGCTATATCTGCTGGGGTACATGTGTTACCTACAGATCAGTGCATACTGACAACAGTCAGCTTTTGATACCTCATTGCAGCAGTTCCAGGGGTGCTCTGCACTTTTTACCGACCTCTTAAAGGTGTGGTGTCTAAACAGTGTGCCTTGTCAAGTGGCTTGGTTTTATTACAGCAATATAATTAACAATGTAACAAAGTAGCCCATAAGGGAGTAACACATGCTGATGAAAGTGAGTTCTATTTTTCGTTCTGGTAAATGACAAGCTATCGTACCATTTTCCGTCATGATCAATCAATTCCCACACTTATTCCAATGGCCCCGCCGCAGTGGTCTAGTGGCTAAGGTACTCGGCTGCTGACCCGCAGGTCGCGGGATCGAATCCCGGCTGCAACGGCTGCATTTCCGGTGGAGGCGGAAAGGTTGTAGGCCCATGTGCTCAGATTTGGGTGCCCGTTAAAGAACCCCATGTGGTCGAAATTTCCGGAGCTCTCCACTATGGCATCTCTCATAATCATATGATGGTTTTGGGATGTTAAACCCCACATATCAACCACTTATTCCAATGAAAGTAAGTATAAGGCTTTGCATGGAAATGTGCACCAATGATAATTGTAAGACAACACTAGCCCATATTTATGCCACCTGATTGGTGGAAATCGTTTTACATTATGACCAGTTTTCCTACAGAAGAGGTTTTCAACGGCCAAAATTTTAGTATCCCCTGAAATGCAACAAGAAAAGCATCATAAATTCTAGGTGTGCCAGCTAACATGGAGCAAGCTTTTTTTTTCTTGTAGATAAAACTAAACTAGTATTGTCATTAACTTCCTGAAGAAATGCAGAGTATTAAAAGGTATTATCATAATGTAATAACTGTTGATTGATTACAAACATTATTACTGATTTCCCAGACATATCAGTACAGTGTAAGTAGACCACATTTGAAGATATTTGAATACTTATACCGTAAAATGCCAAGCAAACACCCCCCATTAGAGCAAGCACCCCCCTCCCAAATCTGGCCGGATCATCCTTCACTGTATGGGGTTTGCTTGCTCGGCATTTTATAATAGTCAATTACAATCATCATCATCATCAGCCTGACTACGTCCACTGCAGGACAAAGGCCTCTCCCATGTTCCACCAGTTAACCCGGTCCTGTGCTTGCTGCTGCCAATTTATACCCGCAAACGTCTTAATCTCATCTGCCCACCTAACCTTCTGTCTCCCCCTAGCCCGCTTGCCTTCTCTGGGAATCCAGTTAGTTACCCTTAACAATCAGCGGTTATCCTGTCTACGCGCTACATGCCCGGCCCATGTCCATTTCTTCTTCTTGATTTCAGCTATGACATCCTTAACCCCCGTTTCTTCCCTAATCCACTCTGCTCTCTTCTTGTCTCTTAAGGTTACACCTACCATTTTTCTTTCCATTGCTCGCTGCGTCGTCCTCAATTTAAGCTGAACCCTCTTTGTAAATCTCCAGGTTTCTGCTCCGTAGCTAAGTACCGGCAAGATACAGCTGTTATATACCTTTCTCTTGAGGGATAGTGGCAATTTACCTGTCATAATTTGAGAGTGCTTGCCAAATGTGCTCCACCCCATTCTTATTCTTCTAGTTACTTCAATCTCGTGGTTCGGCTCCGCGGTTATGACCTGGCCTAAATAGACATAGTCTTTTACAACTTGAAGTGCACTATTACCTATCTCGAACACTGCTCTTTTCCGAGGTTGTTGTACATTACTTTAGTTTTCTGCAGATTCATTTTAAGACCCACCTTCCTGCTCTCCTTGTCTAACTCCGTAATCATGAGTTGCAATTCGTCCCCTGAGTTACTCAGCAATGCAATGTCATCGGCGAAGCGCAGGTTACTAAGGTACTCTCCAATAACTCTTATTCCTAGCTGTTCCCATCCTAGGCTTCTGAAAACCTCCTGTAAGCACGCGGTAAACAGCATTGGGGAGATTGTGTCCCCCTGCCTTACACCCTGATTCCGCAGTGTCTGCATGACGGCTGATATTTCTGCTGAATCAAACGCCTTCTCGTAATCTATATGAAGGCTATGTATAGTGGTTGGTTATACTCTGAGCATTTCTCTAGTACCTGATTGATAGTATGACTGTGGTTGATTGATTGATATGTGGGGTTTAACGTCCCAAAACCACTCTATGATTATGAGAGACGCCGTAGTGGAGGGCTCCGGAAATTTAGACCACCTGGGGTTGTATGACTGTGGTCAATTGTTGAATAGCCTGTTCGAAATCCTGCTTGTTCCTTTGGTTGATTGAATTCTAATGTTTTCTTTACTCTGTTAGCAATTACCTTTGTAAATAGCTTGTATACTACAGAGAGCAAGCTGATCGGCCTGTAATTCTTCAAGTCCTTGTCATCTCCTTTCTTATGTATTAAGATGATGTTAGCGTTCTTCCAAGACTCTGGTACCCTTCCCGTCAGGAGACAGCTCGTAAACAGGGTGGCTAGTTTTTGTAACACAATCTGTCCTCCATCTTTCAGCAGATCTGATGTTACCTGATCCTCACCAGCAGCTTTGCCTCTTTGCATGCTCTCCAAAGCTTTTCTGACTTCTTCTATCATTACTGGTGGGGTGTCATCTGGGTTACTGCTAGTTCTTATAGTATTAAGGTCGTGGTTGTCTAGGCTACTGTACAGATCTCTGTAAAACTCCTCCGCTATTTTAACTATCCTATCCATATTGGTAGTTATTTTGCCTTCTTTGTCCCTCAGTGCATACATCCGACTTTTGCCTATCCTAAGTTTTCTCTTCACTGCTTTGACGCTTCCTCCGTTTTTCAGAGCGTGTTCAATTCTCTCCATGTTATACCTTCTTACATCGCATACTTTACGTCTATTAATCAACTTCGAAAGCTTTGCCAGTTCTATTTTGTCTGTTGTACTTGAGACTTTCATGATTTGACGCTTCTTAATGAGATTCTTCGTTTCCTGGGAAAGCTTGCCAGTGTCCTGTCTAACTACCCTGCCTCCAACTTCCACTGCACACTCCGTAATGATACTCGTCAGATTATCATTCATTGTATCTACGCTAAGGTTGGTTTCCTCACTAAGAGCCGAGTACCTGTTCTGAAGCGAGACTCTGAATTCCTGTACTTTCCCTCTCAGTGCTAGCTCATTGATTGGCTTCTTGCGTATTAGTTTCTGTCGTTCCTTTCTCAAGTCTAGGCGAATTCGAGACCGTACCATTCTATGGTCACTGCATCGTACCTTGCCAACGACTTCCACATCCTGCCCGATGCCTGGGTGTGCACTCATTACAAAGTCTATTTCGTTCTTATTTTCGCCATTAGGGCTCCTCCATGTCCATTTGCGGTTTCCTCGTTTTTGGTAGAATGCATCGTCCCTTGATTGATTGATTTGTGGGGTTTAACGTCCCAAAACCACGATATGATTATGAGAGACGTTGTAGTGGAGGGCTCCGGAAATTTTGACCACCTGGGGTTCTTTAACGTGCACCCAAATCTTAGCACACAGGCCTACAACATTTCCGCCTCCATCGGAAATGCAGCCGCCGCAGCCGAGATTCGAACCCACGCCCTGCGGGTCAGCAGCCGAGTACCTTAGCCACTAGACCACCGCGGCGGGGCAATGCATCGTCCCTTAATTTTCTTGTCTTTTAAAATATAAGAAATCACCTAATGCTTTTTAAAAGTTGCTGTGACCTTTTGCTTCAAGGCCACAGCAACTTCGCATCCCTTTAGCTTCGCAAAGATGAGCTGAACAAATGGTAGTGGTATCGTACCAATACTTGGCATTAAAGTTATTGTTTTAGGATGTCCCGTATGGCTCTCAGTTTTATGTGGACAAACACAAGTGACACAATACACATCATATAATTTGTTGTTAGGAATATATTGGCCTGAGTTTAATAAATAGGTCATTTTTAATAACATAATGTTACCATTTCACAAGTAAGAATATTATCACCAACACTGGTCTTATGACAGAAATGAGCTTACAGACTTAAAATATAAGATCCTTTATGCCAGGTGATATGTTTTGGACAGCCCGTTTGTACTGCTGCCACGCCAAATCTACAATGCAAAATGTTTTTGGCATGTTCATGACCGCATCTGCTACATGTGGAAAGTGAGGCTACACTATGGCATTAAGTTGCAGGACATTCATTTGCATCTCTGCTCAAGTGAACACCTCAGCCTTGAAGAATTAAAATAGCAAGCCTACAAGCTTGATGCTTTCAAAGAAGCTACAGAGAAGACGTACAGAAATATTGCAAACTCTAATCAAGCAATCTCGGGTTAGTTTACGTGGTGCCTATTATTAGGCACCCTACATGCCACAGCACTTAAATGGCACATGGCACTATAAAAAGCTGAAGTAATGTGCCCTGTGCAAGACTATTGCAGCATGGAACCTCTCAAGTGTAAAGAAGCTACATACTTAAGAGTTGGAACAATCACAATCATTAGCCTCTGTGGATTAGACATACACATAAATAAACATAAAAAGCATAAATATTGTTGGTTAGCATTGGCACACGAAGACTCCAACACACTGTGAATCTACAAGTTTAATCTATGTTGGCACATTTCAGCAAGCAGGTCAGAATAACAACCAAGATACCACTTAAATGCTGTGATTTTATATGAAAAACAAACACACACTAAAGCCTTTCATTTATGCAGGGCAACAGTTTTAGGCAACAATTTCTTATCCAGGGTCAGGAGTGAACATGGCAAGTGTAAAAAAAAAGGGCCGGGGGAAGGGAGGGAACAGTGAAAGAAATAGTATTTCAGCGTGGACATGCGGATAAGCATCGTATATACTAAATTCATTGAAATTTTATAAAAACTTTTCTATTGCTTATAACAAATGCAACTATTTGAATCTGAATACAGATGATTCTACAATCATCAAAAATGAGTAAGACACAAGACTATAATATACTACTGTCACAGCACTTTTGAAACTTATTTCTCTATTAGGTCATTCCATGCCATTCTGGTAACTATCTCAAATGTATTCTAAAAAAATTGTACTGATTTAGCGTGTTGAAGACAGTGAATAGCTAGAATATTTCGGAGAGAAAAAATTTGTCATGTGGGAGCCTTTCAAATTTCACAGAATGTGTCCGAGTGATGCTTGACAAGAAATCTATTCTTAGAGTATCATTTTTTGTTTCAGTACCAAATTTGGTTTACATATTAAACAAAAGCATTTATGCATGAAATTTTAATCTCAATTATATTACTGTAATTTTTCTGGTATACTATGCACCTCCAGATATTTTGGAAAATTTTCTATGTTTGTGTTTTTCCTTTTGAATTATTGTACTATGTATGAATATCTGAGTAATCAATACTACTCTGTGAAAGGTATATTTCACGTTAAAAACATTTTCACACCATTCTAGTTCATAAATTTCATGAGGAAAAATTATGAATTTGAGAAAATCTTCATTTTAGTTCGCAACGACACGCAATTTATGCCTTTTGGTGCTCCCTTATAAAACCTTAATCGAAAAAATAAATAAAAAGTTTTCTTATATGGAAAGTTTTATCATCATAAGTTTTTGTTTTAAGGGAAAAAATTATTTTCGAGGAAATTAAAAAAAGTATATTCTTCCTTGAAACAAAAAAGGATAATGATAAAACTTTCCATATAAAAACTTTTTATTTGTTTCGATTGAGGCATAAAGTTAATTTATAATAGAGCACCAAGAGATGTAAATTTCATCTCAGTGTGGACAAAAATAAAAATTCCCTTAAATTCATAATTTTTCCTCATAAAATTTATAAACTGTAGTGGTGTGAAAATATTTTTAACACAAAATATACCTTTCGCAGAGTAAGTGTTGATTACTCAGATATTCATATATAATGCAATAATGTAACAGGAAAAATACAAACAGACGATTTTGCCCATATTTTTTAGGCATATATGGCAGAAAAATTGTAGTGATAACATTTATATTTGAATACCCAGAAAAAATGCCTTTGTTTATTATGTAAATAGCATTGAAATGAAAAACAATACACTTAGAATAAATTTTCCGTTAAGAATCACTCGGACAACATTCTGCAAAATTTGGAAGGCTGCCACATGACAAACGAATTTGTATCTCTGAAATATTCCACCAATTCATTGTCTTTAATGCGATAAATCTGCACAATTCTTTTGTAATAAAACATTTAGTATGCCTACCAGAATTACTAGGACGTTTAGTCAGAAATGACCCCCCCCCCTACTACAAGTAACTATAAAATTCAACAATATTTCTACATAAAATTTATCACTGTAAGCCTTTTACTGCATACATTTCACTGTATTCAGTAATAGATAGAGAAAATTAATCTTCAGTACAGTACTGAGCAACATTTAACATTCAGTTTGCTAAAAATGCCTACAAAGCATGATTAGAGATAAAATGAGGGATAAACACACCTCGTGTATTGCCCCTACAAGGGTTTACAGCGGAAAAATTCCATTATACACATGCTTAGCAACAGGTGCTAAGCTATCAGGTAATGCAGTGCATATGAAAATACAACAGGCTTACTAAGTATGCTGCAGAATACTCTGCACAACAATCACTGGTCACAATGTGGGAAAATTTTGACTTGAGGGTGCCCACACATACAAACACGGCTGAAACGGTCATAGTGCAGGTTCACGGACCAGAAATGCTAACAAAATTGATGAGTTGATGATTGCTTTTATTTTAGCTACAACCACCTCAAAAAGTCTGACAGACTATAATAAAGATACCTCAAAACCAAAGTGCAACCGTAGAAAACAAAAACTAGTAACTGTGCACAGTCCAAGGCTTTATTAGGTTGAAGATAAAAAACAGACTTCATAACAATGTGAAACAATTCAATAATACACATATAACAAAAGATGACCAAATCGCATGGCACACAAGAGAGAAAGCCTTCATGACAAGAATTGCATAGGCTCAATCCTACCTAAAACAACAATAACAACAACAACATGTTTGAGAAGCTCTGAAATTATCGAGAATTTTTTTTTATCATTGCGAATGAGAAGTAGTGGTCTTCAGTTGCAGTCTCTGCAAAGTGCTTACTGTGGACGTGATGAGTGATAACACAGGTACTCTTTGAGCTTGCGTGGAAGTGGCAAAGTCCGCACAGCACAGCTCGATATGTGCTGAAGAATGGCATCACGGCACGCACTCTGTAAAGATGCCACCACTGTGGCCAGCCCGCAATTAGAAACACATTTACCACACTGCTTACACTTAAAGAAACTGCCAGATGTGCTGCAGAGATTTCATTATTCTTTACTTTATTGAGTTTAACAACAGTGCAATCATCAGCTGAAAACTGACAAGATAGTGGAAGAAAAATTGTCTCAGAGTTGAAGAACAACTTATGGCTTGGTATTCTACATGCAAAAAGAAATTTAGACACACAAAAATGCACAGCATGAAAGACAAGGATACAGGTAGAAAGACGCTGTGCCTTTTACACTGTGCTCATACTACCGTGCATTACTACCATGACCAAGGCTCTGGAGCCTTCGTCATAAATTTGTGTTGAGGGAAATTCAAGCTATTGAGTAGAATGAAGTTTTACACAATGCAGTGCTGAACTTACACTCAAAATGTTCCTTGCACCTTTCTCATGCAACCTCAATAAATAACTTACACGTTTCCTGTAACTTATAACAAAGATAGCCAGGTATGCAATACATACTTGATATTTTATGTAACTTAAACAGAAATTTGCAAATGCATTTTATCTTGATTTTCTTTTCCCCAAGAATGTAGTGTAGTCATACCCTAAATGTAGCAAAAACATCAAACGTACGGAATTTTTTTTTAGTTATTAGATTAAACTTATGCTACAATGTATACCAAATTGTAGTCTAAATACTAGTCTTACTTTAAAAGTGAAAAGGAAGTAACCATCGAAAGCATTTCAACTGCTTACAAAGGCACAACAAAGACCACAAAAACATAATCAATGAACGAAAAATTTGCAGCTTTTCTGAGACCTACAGCAACAAGAATCTGAAGCACACTGTGCAATGGTTCATCCAGTATTCTAGTTTTGTGGGTGGGAAGCGGAAGGGGTATTTTATTCTTTACCTTCTACTATGTCAAAAACTATAAGATTCCAACATATGTACCACAAATTATACCATTTAGTTGCCCTCTGTGGTGACAGTGCGATTCAGTAAACTTCTACCTGTAAAGGTGGGCAGGTTGGCCTTTGCTAATGAAGCATAAGAAGTTAGATTTGACACTATTATCATCACTAATTGACAGCACAACTGGCAGTTCCATAAGTTTAGCAAATCCCCACACATACAGTTCTGGATACGTACATATTTCAATACTACCTAGTAATGTGTGCATGGATAACATCAGCACGCTAAAATCGGGCAAACAATGAAGTATGTCTTGGCAATCATATATTGCGTGAGAAATGAAAACTATGTCCACAACCTATCACATGTCACATGAGCCACCAATAATGAAGCATTGCGATTGCTGCTAAAAATAAATACTTATGCAATATAACTCGAAAGCATGACACTCTACTATTTTTATAAAGAGAATGTGTTAGGTACCACGCTCAGCTACATTCTTGTCTGGCATTTTATTTTTGAATGTTTCTCATAGTTCCAAACAACAAAAAATACAGCCAAAACTTACCACCATAAAGCTGCACAATGCGAACGTGCTTGGTGGTTCCATAGACGTCTACAACAGCATACAGCGGAGCATCTTGGTGAGGGATATCTGTAGCGTACAACTGGTCTTCTCCATTGATGATGAAGTGCATATCAGCTGACTGACCCCTAGTCACATACATAACACCAATTCGACTTCCGACATCTGTTGGAAGAATGCTTGACCTGCAGCAGGAGCAATAATGATAGAAAAAATAGAAAAGAATGTTGAGTAAACGCATCTCAAGCATTGTTGCTGTGAGACAATGAGTGAACCATACATTGCTGACAGCATCAACAGCATGTTTTTATATTCACAACAATAGACAGATCATATACAAATGCACTACTTCCATAGCTTCTATAATATAAGAACTTAAATAATCAAGTATAAGGCCACATTTCTCAAGCAGCTACATCGCAAGATGAAGCAAGCAAAAAACAGTAGTGTGCAAACACACCAGTAACAAAATCTATTGTTCTAGGCATCCATGAGGTTTTAGCTGGTTAATGAAATTTAAGCTGCCAAAGAGACTTAGGCTATGAGAGACACCCCATAGTGTAGGGTTCTCGATAATTTCTACCCTTGGTGTTCTTTACAGTGCATTCATGTATATAGCCAGGAAGAGGACTGAGGTGCTCAACCCCCCCTCCCTCCCCAACAATTTTGATGGAGGGGGGTGTCTTGTAGAAAGTAAATAATGAAAATGGGCACCTTCCTAAAATAGTGAAGGCTTTCAGCAAGTTGCCCCTACCCCTTGGACACACAGTCTATCTATTGACTATCATGCGCTAATAAATATAGCACAGGACATGTCTAGCATAAACACTGTACAGAAATGTGACCGCTATGGCCATGATCGAACCTACGTCTTTCTAATCAGCAAAGAAGCACACTGAGTCACTGTGGTGGCATTTATAAATATTAAGGGCATCATTATTCTTCACTTCAACTGCACAGCTGAACTGTTACACCTCTACAAGACTCACAAATGTACCTTCAGCAAGATTTGAGGCCCAAGAACAGAATATTGGAGACCCATGCATGTCCTTGAATATCAATAAGGCCCATTAAAAAAATAATAAAAATCGTGTTAAAAAGTGTTGAAAATCTCAGGATTTTATTAGATTATGGTTTGTCACATTACCAGTATCGCCCTATATGAGAAACATGAGCTAACAGTCTAAAATATGTAATCAGATTCTCCAAGCTATAACTGGTAACGACATTGCGTGTGGCCCTACTACCAAAGCTACAAAGCTAAAGTACATGTGTAAAATCTACCACAAGACATAAGAAATGTGATGGTAATGTAGAGCATAAAATTAGATATTTTTTCTTATCTACCTTTCCAAAAAGTACATAGGCTAGTATTCATAACTGCATGCAACCAAAACAATAATTTACAGGCAAAAGATGACTGCATAGTATGGACAGTACAGTGAACATGAAGGCACCCTGTCTTCTTGCCTCACCATAACTTCACTGTTACTCCTACATTACTGTACGTGGAACAGTGCCATAAGATTTCACCTCACCTAATCTTATCTCAAATGGAAAAGTTGTGAGCAAAAGGTATCTTTTCTGTGACTGCTATGATTTCGACCCCCTGAACACCTACCAAGAACAGTATATCCCAAGAATAAATACTTTCAAACATACATATGAACAAACCAAGGCTCACCTTTCATTACTTCACTTTGAATGCTACAATAGGTAAGAGGCAAAATCTTTTCAAAATTTCTTGCCAAAGGCCTTTTAAAAGATTTGGTGGCACTGCAGGCATCAAGAACTGAACCAATGGTGGCAGCACAAAGTGGTTCAATAGCAACATGTTGCACTGCATGTGTACATTTAGAGGAGATGTCGGCATATCCTGATCACGTACCCACATCGAAGGTTGTGACTGCACAATGCAGTCTACGTACTGCACATGAAAAATTCACCAATTCCTTGTTCTGAGCTGGACCTATGTCACTAAAATGCTCACTAGAGCAAAAATAAATTTGATGTTATTACTACTACCATTGATCATCATCATATAATTATCATGATCATCATCAATTAACATATCAATGTCAGACCCCTGCCATTAGAAAAATATCTAGATCTGCAATAGGTGAACCATGCAATGAGACATCTGTTAGGCCCACAATGTTATGCTAAGGCTTTTAAATGTTCATATACACTGGCATGAAACAAAGGGGAAGAGGTGGTGGTCCTGACCCCTTTGTGTCAAGATGAAGGGGGTCACCCTTTGCAAGTGTCCTCCCTTGAAGTTTTCCTTTTTTAGCCCTTCTAAAAGAGCACAAACAAAATGTAAAAGTGAAAGCTGCTTTTCATTTCAAAAGGCACTGTAGGACAAGAGCCCTGCATATTCTGAAATTTTATAAATTACTTCTAAAATAGAAAAATGTTTATTATTTAAGACTTTGAAGAGCAAAGTTAATCAATAATTCTTGATCATCTATGGTTGTTTGTTTATGTCGACGATTTTGTGTGAGACACGGACAATGAAGAGTGAATCCCAAATGCTTGACTGATATTTTAAGAAAATCACTGGCAAACATATACATGCTTTACAAAAAATTTTTCTTAGGAAAATCTTTAACTCTTGAAAGCCTATTTATAACAAGCACAGGTACAAATGGGAAATAAAGCTGTATGTTCACACCTTGTAATTAAACAGTGCTAAAAAGTTCTGTAACTATAAAACTTATATTTATAAAACAAAATGGCCACAATGCCAAGATGTCTTGTGATTTCTTATTGCTTTTTTTAGACTTATGTGCCCCTGTTCATATAACCTACAAAAATAAAAAGAAAAAAATTCTTTCAGGGGGACACAAAATGTGACTTGAATGTCAAAGCAGGGTAGTGAAAGGTCAGAGATAAAAGTGAGCCGATAAGCAAATTTGACCTTGCATTTCAGCATTATGCCATGTTGTTACACCACCACATACAAGATTGCATGGTCGGTGCACCTTAGCTTAGCTACAGCTCACCAGCCAATGTGCTGAAAAGGTCATAGAGGCTGGTGTGAGAAAACATACAAGCCATAAGTGATAGTCTTACAACAACAAATAAAAAGCCACAGTTTGACTGCGACTGCACAGACAAATAAATGCATGAGATAGCAACAACCTGGAATATTATACAAAGTAAGGCTATGGACTAACTCCTTCAGCTTCAAACCTGTCATAACTAAATGAAACAATGGCGAAAAAAAAAAGCACAACCACTGAAATGAGCCAAATGACGTTCATGCTGCCTATCACTCCATTGCAAAGCAATCAGGTACAATAGCACACACGAAGGTATAAGCCGTTTACTGATCCCTGTCAAGATAAAGTGTGGACAACTGCACCTGGCTGAGCAAAGAGCAGAGTGCCTGCTAGAAAAGTCCAGCTCACCCCCTCAAGATGTTTCTTCTCCACTTGAGCCGCTGTCATAGGCTGTCTTCACACATAGAACATACACATGCAGGGTGATGTTATTACTGAGATGAACACCTAATACAGCACCTCAGAACGACACCAGTGGCAATGCCAAGAATGTGCTGGTAGCGTTCATATAACTCCTATCTCAACATGAGGAACTGCTTGCTTGCCTACTCCATGACTAATAAAAATCACATTTTTATTGGCAGAAGTGTCATCCAGTCCAATCTTGCAAGGGTATGCAAACCGGGCCACTGTATGATCACACATGCTGCTGCCTTTCACATACGTTCATCACATATACTGGCAGTGTTTTGCTTTGACATCTGACACCTAGCACCACCTTGGCGTCAGTGCAAAAAGAGAACACTGAATTCAGTATCATGCAGTAAACATTTTGGAACGACTCAGATACTAGAAAAAATAATTGAAAAAAAAAAACACACTCGTAAGCTATAGGATGGTGGAACTAGTGTTCCACCTAAATAGGAATGTCCAGTCACCATTTGCAACTAATGATATGATGCATACTCAGAAGGTTGATTACACTGAGTAAGCATGAAATATTCCAAATGACAACTACTTACTTTCCACAACTTCCAGGACCAGAACTGATGGAAGTCCCTTCGCCAGAGAAGTCTGTAACACTGTCCTCGCCACCAACAGGCACCCTAGGTCGCTTTGTCGGAAGCAACATGCTTCGAGGGACAACACCCCTGCTTGTGTAGATGTGCTCACCAGTGCCTGTACAGAAAATTCAGAGTCCCACAGCACACTTCAATACACAAATCCGTTTTACTAATTTTAGACACAGTCAGCATATACCTAGAAAAGGCTGCCAGAAGAATACTAGATCTTTAAGTCATCACTTCATTAGAAAACTTCACGAGTATTATGAGTTCTTACTCAAACAAACTTCCACAAGTTCTATTGCATTGCTACTTATAAATGGCCATAACGTAACTGCCCAACTATGCTCCGTTAAACCTTTAAATGGAGACTAGACTGACCAATGTTTACAAATACACAAAAAACTGAGTGCTTGCCATGCATTCTCATCTATAAAGTTAACTTGTAATTGCTGCCTTTATACTCTTGTCATCAACACTTGTGGAAGGGTCATCCTAGCACGACTTTTGTGACATCAAAAGTGCATGGTTCAATGCCGCGCATGTTGTTAGCTCGAAAACACTCCACAACCATGTGCCTTGTATCCCCAACGGCTGCTCAAGTGCTCAAGCAGAAACTTTCCCTTGAAAATGAGCCGCATTTCATGGGTTCATCAAGCCACACACTAAGCCAGCAACATATTCCTTTGCACAATAAAGACAGCACAAAACAGAGAATGCGGTCAGAAAATTTCTCAGGTGACTGCCGAGATGCACATGTGAAAACAAAACTAGCAATGATGACCATGACATATCTACAGCTACTAGCATCACTACTGGGGCTTGTTGAAATATACATATGCATGGTCTTTGATATAAGCCTCCGTTGCTCTGATGCAGCCAACACTGCAGATGGAAATCGATTACATCATTCATTAGTGTTTCCAGATTGTTGTATACTTTAAATACAATTATCTGATGCCCATTTATTCTAGCCATGAAGGAGAAAAGTTGGTCAGCTTAACAAGTAGCCTGAAAAATGAATGCTTTCAAATTTTTTTCAAAATCAAGAAGATCAGAGCTTTTTTTTTTTTTGGACCCAATGGACAGCTCCTGTGTAACTACCACTCCATTGCCAAGTCAAATGGACACATTTCCGAAATGCGGCCTCAGGTAGTTTTTGCAGAATAATGAAATTTGCTCCATTTCACTAATGAAATGAAAATGAAGCTACTACACCCTAGCAGATGACAAGAATGACATCACTATTCCCAACAACTACTGTACTGGCTTTTCTGCACTCAACCTATGTGTGGCTAATGTGCAAAGGGCAGCCTGCACACTCACGAAGCAAAGAGGATTGGTGGTCAATTTTACCATGATCACCCATTATGAACACCTCGGAAGAGTATCGCAATCATACTTTACGGCATTTAAGTTCAACCAGCGAAATTTCCCCACTTTGCACAAATCACCTACAGCTGCTTCTAGAATGGGTCTTCATAAAAAGGGATTCCATTCTCCACTAGGACCCAACCTCCAGACTTCTCTAATTACAAGGTTATTTACTTAATTCACATTATTATTATTGTAATTGATGTCTTTAGTCATCTTAATACGTAAACATTGACATTTGGGGTTTTACATGTTAAACTCTGAATCTGATTGTGAGGCATGCCACTGTGAAGGTTGGGCTCCAGAAATTTTGACCATCCAGTGTTCTTTTATACGCACTGTTCTTTAATTGCCTCCATCGAAATGCGATTCCTATAGCCAGGATTGAAACCATGACCTCCGGGTCAGCAGCTGATCACCGTAACCACTACACCACTGCAATGGACATCTTATTATGTTTGCCACTACAAAAAGAAGTAATTATGAAGGCAGCAAGCAAATACAGCATTTCCCTTATTTTTTTAAAATTTTTTTGGACACACTTCTTGAAACACTCTATATATGCACATGCCTGAACACCCTTAAGCAAGCTTCTACTCAGTGCAAACATAGATGACAAGAGCACAAGGATGGGCCCCGTTTTCATCACTCTGCCTGAACATAAGCAAAAGAGGGGGGGGGGGGGGGGGTTGTTCCCTTCTCACAAAAAATTACTGGCTATGCCCATGCTGTCATCAGCTTGCATTATGAGGTGCCCCACATTTACATGAACTATTTGGTCAGTGATGACCTTGGGGTTTACTTTCTCTAACACCATTAATCATCTTTGCTCTATTGTGGCTGTAAAGCTAGTGATTGGCGACATGTCAAGCTGTGACAATGAGCGCCTGTACAAGACAACAGCTGAATGAAAGAGCTGCATCAAATCAGTTCAGTAAATACAGTGAGAACAAAGTTCCCTGTAACAGATAAATGCCAGAATCCACACATTGCAGTCAACTACATGCTGAAAGACAGCCCTCAAAGCTCTTGTATTTATGTTTACAGAAAAATGTGAGTTATGAAAAGAGTCATTAAAAGCACTTTGTTGAGAATGCCAATAACACGGCATATGAGACTCTCTGTCCTGTGGCAAAGTATGCATTAGTGAGATGGGGCATAGCATCAATGACCATCTCAGAGAGTACACAAAATATCTAGCTAACAAGAAGGGCAGACATCTTGTTGACCACTGCTTTGCTGACCCCAACTTTGACCCACTTTTTCCATAGTATGAAAATCGTGGGCATAAGTAACCAAAAAACCACCTGTGAATTTTTAGAGGCCCTTTTATCAGAAGTGTGGGTCACAAGTGTGTCATTGACATATCAATGACAGAAAAGCAGAACATAAATTTCTTTTATGCCTGGTATGATAGCCTGCTGTTTGATAATTTTCATTGTTCCTTGTAACAATACACCAGCACACCTTCATGGTTACATACATCTGTGCTTCTACCTTCAATAAAATCAGTTGTCAGTTTACGTCTGAGTTTATCTTCCTTTCCATTGTTCCATTTCATCGCACTTTTTACAATGAATTGAACATCTATTTTTTTTATGTCACTTAAAGGGGTGGTGCCATCAAATTTCGAGGCTAAAACAAGCCTCTTGTGGGTTTCCTCTGCAGGCTAGGACACTCCATATGAACGGTCGGACACAGCAAACGTTTAGAATATATTTTAAATCACCTCCAAAGTGTACCTAAATGCTCATTCTCCCGACTGAAGCCCATCGCAAGCACGTCCAGAGCTGTAGTAGCTCTCTAGGAAGGCCAACAAAAGTTGCAGTGATGTCACACCACATCTGTAGGAAGCGTAGGCATGCACAGGTTTCTCTCCAGGGGGAACAAAGATTCATCGCTGACTTTGTGCCCCATTCCTGTCGCGGCACCCCCTTCTTATTATGTCAATCTTTATTGCTATGTTTGCACAACCCCCCCTCATAGCTAGGTGACTATGGAAATGGCCACCCCCTGATTGATTGATATGTGGGGTTTAATATCCCAAAACCACTATATGATTATGAGAGCCAGCGAGAGCAGACAATAATCCGCCTTACACGCGTCACAGCCTTGTGTGGTCACGTGGCCAAGTTAAACTGCAACGTCACAGCCTAATTCTGTGCCCAGAAACCAAAACCAAAAATAGTCCGCATAAAAAAAAGGCAATATTAATTTATTTAGCGAGAATAAATGAATCTTGATGCATGTATCATGCTTCCTGGAGCTATAATAAATGGCTGCAGCAAAGAACGCGCAAGCCACAAAAATGGTGGCACCACCCCTCTAACTAAAAATAAAAAATGTTCTCAAATTTACAATGCAAAAACAACTGCATTTGTAATGTTTGACAAAGATGCCTGCCACTACTGTGCTCACAGCCAGCTGTCCTACAAGCTTGCTGCAACTGGCAGTCATGATTGTCAAAGCTTGCACGCTATCTAAAAGGTCAGAGCAGCACAGAGGCACAACATTCACCCTTAGTTTTTTTTTCCTGGCCAGAACGTCTTGCTTGTTAGATCGTTTATTCTGTTCAATATTTGGCATTTTCTTTAACAGTAAAGTACCTACTTCACATAGCATAGATGGCCAATGAGTTAAACGTGCAGGTTAGCTCACACTCAGTTGAAAATGCTATAATGAAGGATGGAAAGCTGCATTTCCAATACACGGAACGAAAATAGTGGCAAATACATTGCAGCCATTTTTCAGTAAGAGTGGCTTATAATGCAGGCTAGCCATTTGATTAGAGAGACTACCAAAGGCTGCCCTATTCACAAGAAGAAACTTTGGAGAGCATCAATACAAACAACAAAGCCACAAGGGCTCTAGTGGAGACATGAGACAGTTTGTCGGTACCTATGATTATTATGAGGCTTCTTTCCGCACAATAATATTGATGTTACTGATCCATCAGTATTAGCTTTACTAACCATCCTTACGGTCTGCAAAGTTGGAACCTATCTTTGTACTACCAGTTTAATGAACCTGCATCCACCTGAACAAAAAGAAATGGTTTCTCAATTTGATACATTCAATTTCGGCCAAGCCAGTGGTATAAGGGGGCACTTTTGCTCCCTTGTAGGTGTACTAATACAACCAGCCTTCCCAGTAGAAATTTCTGGCATTTCCTATACACCTCACTCTAAAACACATCAAAAAATGCTGTTGGAAACACATCTGGCTTGAAGAAACTGAACAATCACTCAAGATATATGAAGGAAAATTTAGAGCATAAAGACAGGAAAAAGGTTTTTCTTTCTAAATGTTACATATCAAAGGTTTGGCTATAAACTCTTACGAATAACTAGAATCTGAAGACAATTCTGAATATGGACATGGACACTACTCCACATGGGGCATGCCTGATGGGTATGTTGCAGCTCATTTAAGAGATTGGAACTTTTCTCCACACAAAATGTTATTTCTCAAGGCTAAAACTATGGTTTAAGTTTCTTGGTCTTTTACACCCCCAATCGCCTATCACTAAGAGCCCTTAAGAATTATTAAGCACCATCTAGTGACAAGAATGCAAAATCAGAAATCAGCCCAAGTAAATAACAATGACCTATCCTACCAACTAAACATAAATAGGCTATAATGCACGCACCTACGCAATACAGAGAGATCAAAGAATCATGTACCTAGAACTGAGGTAGAAGGGTCAAGTCGTTCATAAGGGGAGCTGCCAAGATGCTCGGAGTCTAGTTCAGAGTTGTGAATGGCAAAAACCCAGGAGCGGCCCATGTTGGCTAAATCTGGCAAAGCATACTGGGGCAGTGGGAAGTGGCGACCTGGGTTATGCTGTGTTAGGCCAAGTCGCATGTGGCCGCTCCATCCTCGCTCATTTTGTGCTATCTCAAGGAGGAAGATTTCACCAGGAAGCAGTGGTTGCTCAGAGAACGCCAAAGCATGGGCGAAGCTTGTCTTGCGGTATGCAACCATGTTGTTGTCGCACAAAATGAGGTTACGCCCGTGGTAGCTGTGAAATCGACTGGCAGGCACAGTGGGTGCCCCATCTGGCATATCCTTCCACTTGCACTCTACCTGCAAGAGCATACAGTGCACCATTATAACCTCACCTGAACAAATCACTTTAATACACAATGAAGCAATAAATTATATAACTTAAATGAGAATGGCAATGTGGGCTCATTAGTATTGCATTCTTCTTGATGATAGCACAGGCTAAAGACAAGGGCAAAAGAAAAGATGCATTTGACATAGTGCAAACTTTCATTGAATGATCTACCGATGCATCAATGGGATCTGAAAAAAATAAATCTGCTCTTTAAAGTTAGCACTGTGCTGTGACGAGTGTGCCTTTTCTGTTGTCTCTGTCTTTAGCCTGCACTACCATCAAGAATACATATCATTTAGCTGTCCTTCTTTTGGCTCAATCTACATGGGTAAAACTACACACCGTGGAAAGAGGAAATATCTTCCAGGCAGCATACCCCGCATGCTACTTTTGTGCACACAGTCATTGTTCAGCAGGATATGTGTGAAGTGGTGCACTTCTGTTCAGCTAACATCTTAATTTTATCTGTCATTCACATTACATGATTGTTTTGAGCACTGCCACTCCAATTATACACCAAAATCTGCTTGCATAGGTAGTGTATAATTGAAGCTCATGGACTTGAGAAGCAGCGCAGTGGCATGGGATCTTTTATCAAGCTTCTTGGAGCGGATAAGTACCAATATCTTTGCAGGCTGCAGATGCAGAAATCCACTAGAATGAAACTTTACAGCCAAAAAGGTCAAATTCAAATACAATTGCCTCGTGCTGCACACAGAATTTAATGCAACATGTACTCGTTTCTCCAAATAATTTCACCAATCACATTTGAACTCATTAGAATTTAAAAAGGCGCTTCGAATGCTGTCACAAATATATGATTGCTGAAACGTTCGTCGAGTACCCCACAACAATTACCCGCAATTGCATATAGCATAAAGTTGACATTCAATGGAAAGACCGTAAGCTTAATTGTAGACGTCTGTCTGATCACAATTTTCTCGTAGGTCACTTCTGGTATCTATTCAAATGAGGACTGCGCGAAAAGCACCTCGATTCATAGCGCAATGAAAATAATGAAACTGGCGCGCAAAGGCGTCGATATATTGCTATGAAGTAATACCAAGACAGATATATGAGCGAATATGTGCAACATGCAAACTCCTGCGTTCGCTAGAGAAGATACCCACTTCGTTTTCTGTCGCTAGGCTCATAGTCCCGCCAAACGAGATGTCGTTGCTGCTGGCACGGACATGCATTCCGGGGTTCTTCGGCTCGGTTGCGTGTCACGCCGGCCACAATACCAGCCTTAGCCGCATTTGCCACGACTTAGCAGCACTGCCGACGCGCCCACCATGATGTTGGCGGTGGTGGTGGAAGTGGTTAGAAGAGGAAGAAGGCGCCTAATTTCTGCAGCCCGGTAAGTAGCACGCACAGGACATGGTAACGATGGTAGCACAGTGCACCTGCACTTCGCGGTTGGTTTAGATTTCAGCAGGTACAGCTGCAGTCACAGAACACTACAGTCTGCTACAGTAGCTCCAACCTGCTACAGCATCATCGGCATCATCCGTGTATCCAAACAAGAACCATGGTGCCGTGAAGCGCGCTGCAATCGACCGGTGTGCTTAGCGCGCGAAATTCAGTACGCAGGAAGATGCATGCGGCCTTTTATAAATTAGACGCTCTCAAAAAATACTCGAAATTAAGCTAATACAAAAAATAAACCACATGAACTACTCCAATAAATAAAGCCGATTCTGCGTCATATTAGTGCGCACGTTTCCTATCGTAGATCATTGTCGCCGATCGTAATGTTGATTAAAAAAGCAAACAGATAATAATAATAATAATAATAATAATAATAATAATAATAATAATAATAATAATAATAATAATAATAATAATAATAATAATAATAATAATAATAATAATAATAATAATAATTTATTTGCATAACAAAGAGCCCTCCGGTGACGTGCGAGGCTAGACACAAAAGAAAGACCCTTACGCGCGGGCGTCTGCTAGCCCGTCACCGGAAGGCAAGGGGAAAAACACGAAAAGAAAAGGAGATTAAGCGCTGCTCTGCTTGTGGTGTGCATATGCATGCCACTTTGCTTATCTAAGTGCTTTGATGATACACACACACACACACACACACACACACACACACACACACACACACACACACACACACACACACACATATATATATATATATATATATATATATATATATATATATATATATATATATATATATATATATATATATATATATATATATTATAGACTGTAGTGTTCTACACTACAGTCTATATATAGTATATAGTCTATATATAGACTGTCTATATATATAGACTCTAGTCTATATATAGACTGTAGTGTTCTCCCACATATATATATATATATATATATATATATATATATATATATATATATATATATATATATATATATATATATATATATATATATATATATATATATATATATATATATATATATATATATATATGGGAGAACACTACAGTCTATATATAGACTAGAGTCTATATATATAGACACTCTATATATAGACTATATATAGATTGTAGTGTAGAACACTACACTCTATATATAGTCTATATATATATATATATATATATATATATATATATGGGAGAGAAGTGTATACCTAAGGGCTCGTATTTTCGTGTTTTAACACAATATTAATGAGATATAACATACAGTAATGCCAAGGAATGTACAGGGAAAGTTATTAGAACCAATGGAATGTAAATAAGAAGAAAGAAAAGTGGATGAAAAATTACCAGCCCTGAGCAGGAATCGAACCTACGACCTTCGAATAACGCGTTCGATGCTCTAACCACTGAGCTATCACAGCGGCCGTCCCTCCATCCACTTTTTGGGGTTTATATGTGAATTTAGAAGTAGGAGTGACAGTCAGCGCCATCTATAAGCCAAACAACGAGTGTGAAAACACTCTTATTCGCATGCTTGGCGTCACCAGAGTCATTAAGGGACTGTGGCGTCACGTAGCACGTGAACTTATTATGAGCGGGCAGCTGATTAATTGTCCCCCTTATACAACCTAAACACGCCAAGTCTGCCATTACGAGACCCTCGTTCAATGAAATAAGGGAGAGAAGTGTATACCTAAGGGCTCGTATTTCCGTTATCTCATTAATATTGTGTTAAAACACGGAAATACGCTCCTACTTCTAAATTCCCATATAAACCCCAAAAAGTGGATGGAGGGACGGCCGCTGTGATATATATATATATATATATATATGAGATATAACAGACAGTAATGCCAAGGAATGTACAGGGGAAGTTATTAACATTAATGGAATGTAAATAAGAAGAAAGAAAAGTGGATGAAAAAATTACCAACTGTAAGCAGTTGGTTACCAACTGTAAGCAGCTGCTTACAGTTGGTAATTTTTTCATCCACTTTTCTTTCTTCTTATTTACATTCCATTAATGTTAATAACTTCCCCTGTACATTCCTTGGCATTACTGTCTGTTATATCTCATTATTATTGTGTTAAAAACACGGAAAAACGAGCCCTTAGGTATACACTTCTTTCCCTTATATATATATATATATATATATATATATATATATATATATTATATCATGAGACCACGCAGTAACCAGGTTATCTTTTTAATCCAGACGCATGAGCCAGAAGAGACCCAGCCAGCTTGACCTATGATAATGATCACTACAATGGTTTTTGTCATACAGATGAAGATAAAGTACATAGTCAGCGCTCACAATATATTCAATTTCTGCATGTGTATATGTATACACACAACACATACAAATGTCTATTTTGCTTTTCCAGTGAAGACAGCATTATGCCCAAAATGTGGATCAGCAGAAATAAAATAAGGATCAATTAATTTATTATAGTGCACACATATATTACCTTTTTGCTGAAGATATCATTCTCAATTTTTTTCCTTTTTTCCTGTCAAAAAATTAAGAGGTGGCTGGGTTCATACAAAGTAAATTTGTTCACCTAGGCTGCATATTTTGATATATTTCAAAAGAAAATTTTTTCTGAACTTTTTTTTCTGAACTTTTTTTTATGCAATTATAAACCTGTGCATCTGATTAGGTACTAATGGTCACGTAAGGCTTGCAAGAAGCACATGGGAAGCTTGGGCATAGGGAGGAAATACGGAACAAACTTTGCATATACAAGGTACACCAAATAAGTCAAGCACCATTGTTTTTGTCAAAATGTGCAAGTGTATTTACAATTATGCATGCTTCATTTCAGCAGTATGCAATTCATATGTACAGAAAAAAATATGTCGGGGGTACTCTGTGAAATGTATACCCTTTCTTTTTTAAGCTTATGGGAAAGGGGGAGTGAGAGCACATATTAGAATGGAAGATCTTTTACACCATTTTCTTATCTGACTTTTAAAAGTTAAATATGAGTATTTTAATTGCATATATATTTGTATAAATTAACAGCCACCTAAAGCAAAAATTTGGCTGGAATTGACTTGTAGAGCCCTCTTCTTCTCCCCACGGGCCGTGCGGTAAAGCTGTTATGAAACTATATCTTAAAAAACAAGATAGAAAAACACCTCACTTTCTCACCCCACCCATCATCTAAATTTGTTGCTGTAAATAGTGCTGACAGAAAGAAGTGCTGTGCCCATATTCCGGCCATTTCTTAAAACAGCCTGAATTTTTCTGACAGAGTAAGGAAATCATACATGCATAGCATATATACAGAGAGTGCCAAAGGCAAAAAACTTACCAACAGTCACACAACCCTAGATCCCACCTCTACCTTTCTTTTTCTTCTTTTTATTTTGACAGGCTTGGGACACTGATCATTAAAGAAAGGCAACAGGAAATTTTACTAGAGCCACATTTAGCACTGCCTTTCACTAACATGCATGCATACATCACACCTTACCATACATCTTTATATTCACATGCACTGGTAAAGCACAGCATCGGTTCCAACTATGCTTCTGTAAAATGCAGAGGGAAAAATGGAATTAAATATGGCATATGCATACCTATGCAGGGTTCTTCTTTAGGATGGGGGGGGGGGGGGGGGCATCTGAAAGTTTGTGTTTGTTGCAGCATCCCTCTTCCTGTTATATGAATGTACGGGGCTGACTTAGCACCCCACTCCCCTTAGGTGACTAGAAGGAATGACTGCCCCCCCCCCCCCCCCCCCCCCCCTGTGTGCATGCCTATGCAGTATGGCACCATACTTTTTACTAGAAAGGTAGAAATTTTTATAGAGCAAGGTTAAGTGAATAGAAGACAGTCTATATTATATTCAAGTGTGCTAACTTCACAATAAAAATTATATTTCTGCTGGTATTACTCAAAATTATTCTTTTTTTTTTTTCCCAACTCAAATATACTTCATGCCTATGTACACCAAGTTGGATATCTGCACACATATGCTCTGCTAATTAATAAGAATTCCTGTCAACTCTGACTCATGACCATAAATATTGATTAATTCTTAGCTGTTTCATCACAGAATTTCACCAAGCTACTTGGGCAACAGGTGAATGAATTTGATCATATTCTACCTTTTCCCAATTAACCTTCTCACTTATACATACCAAATTTTCTGACAAATTTTTTCTCATTCAATTTAAAGAGCCTTTTTTTTCTGAATAATTGGTACTTTCTTTAAATTCATGGGTGTTTCCTCACTTCATTAATTGCATAAAAAAGGATAACATAACCTGAAGGTGTCTTCACTACATGTAAATACAACCAACATACTAGTAATAAAATGAAAGCCGAGACACAAATGGCATGCCATGAACAAGTGCGGCCAACTATCGTCAAGAAATGATTTTGTAACAAGTACAGTCACCATTGATTCCACAAAGGACCGATTTTTGTTGATGACGATCAGTATGGTCATCATCGGTCATTTTGGTACAATATCTCCTCATGATGGCTATAACTGTAAATGATAGTGAAAGGGTTATTAAATGTTTTAGCACCTTTGATTTTTATAATTAAATATTTGGATTGGGAAAATATTATTGGTGGGAGAAGAAAGCTAATCCTTTTGCTGCAGTGATTAATAGGAGAAACTCCAACTATACTCTGTTTCCAGATTATTTACTTCATATACCACACCACCAAATGGCAGTTGCAACACCCACAAAGTTTCAGCACCTTGCACAGAACAGGGCGAAACCCTCAGGACCAGCGTGTAGTAAAAAGCTGATTTCTTATGAGCTTGCCAATGCCATTAGCTATAATTGTCTAATCAGTGTAGGCACCCTAACATTGTTAATTTAAAAAATATTTAATGAATCTTTGTTTGCTTGCCAAGCAATTCACCTAGGGGTTTTCTTTTGTCCATACCCGGTAAGAAAGACCACAATTTCGTCTCAGAATCTCCACTTATATACTATTTAATTTAGAAGTATCCATGTATGGAGGTAGATTTATTCCCCTTGAGATAAAATGTAGTTGACATACTTAACTTCACCAGTGTTATCGGTGAAAATCTGTGACGGCAACTTATTGGCTACCACCAAACTAGTCCCCGAAAACACTGCTAAAGAAAAGGCAATAGGTGAAGAATATAAAAAAAAAAGTTTTCAAATGTTTCGTGACTGTATTAATGAAGATATAGGTTTGAGAAAAATGTGGCACGCCACGCACATGGGCAAATGATATAGCAGCCATGGTTGAAAAACAAAATCTTACCGATTGTGCTCTCAGCATGATGTGTCAAAGAGAACAAAACAATTGTTTCCTCTGTTCAGGCATAATTGAGTGCTTTATTTAGTGCTGACATTTATGTGCAAGTTGGCTATTTTTCACAATTTCCTGTTTACATTGGTGTGCCTTGCTATACTTTCTAGTCCTAATAACAACTTCTAACTTACGCTGGAGTGTGTCAGCTGTTAAAAAAATTAATTGAAAAAGATAAATACCGACTTTAATTGTTCAGACCTCACACACTTTTTCAAGTCACCACGCTTATAAAATGTTATAAAAAATGGCCGGGTGCTGTCGCTCGGTCTTCAGCCTTTTGTGAAGAGTCTCAGAAGCCACCAACACTACCTAGATCCTGCACAGCAGAACTTTCCTGCATGATCTCAGAGACCGTGCTTTATTTATATCTGTATTGTATAGGACAATATTGATCGTGTCATATAGTGCATTGCCTCACTGAATCGAATACTGTGCCAAATATGGCACTTACCGATCGAATAGAATTAGAGGAAAAAGGAAAAATAAGTTTTCAAAGCCAAAAAATAAAAGTTTATCCAAAAATAAAAGTTTATCCAAAAATAAAAGTTTATCCAATCCAATCCAAAGCCAAAATATATGCCAAAATAATTGTCATGTCTCTGCAGCAAAAGAAAGTTGAAAAAGCAATCACTTTTGTTTGCCTGCCAAACATGTCGTTCACTGTAAAATCTTATTTCACGTCTGTTTTTAATACTGCTCTAGGGACCACAGCACTTTTGTATGTTAATTAGGTGCACACTACTATGGGAATTACGGACTGTATGAGAACCTGTAGAAATTACACCTGTAACACATATGTGTCACATAAATTGGGAAAATCCCTCCACTCACCACACTGTTTCAGTAAAAATTAGCAACAGAACACACAGGCAGCCAACAACGATTAGTGGCTGCAAGTTCGAACATCTCTTGTTTACCATCTGTACAGAGGGCACGGACAGTCATTGAACGCAGGCTGTTTTACGATCATAAAATTTTGTCTACAACACAAGGCAAACCTTGAGCCTAACAGCTCTGCTATAATATTAAACTCTTGTGATTCATGTACCAAAACCATGATGTCATAAAAGGGCAACCCATAGAGGCAGGTGCTGAATTTATTTAGACAACCTGTTGTACTTTATTAACACTCATGTTTTTGCATTTCACCCCTATATAAATGCAGCAAAATAACTGTGTCAGCATCTTTTCTGACTCACGTTCACATCATTTAATCGTTTATGTCATGAGGTAGAAGTAGAAACTTTTGAAGATGCACTTTTAAAAAAAAGATACCTTTTTTTTCTTTTTTGGCACAGCACAGAAATGCTTGCCTCAGTTCCTGTTCATTTTTTTTTTTTCAGCAACATGACCTTGTTTAACTTGTTGACAAAACAGTAGCACAAACATCACCTGGTGAGAACGATGCCACTAAAAACACAGCAGGAAGCCATGTACATTCACTGTGTACAGCCGCGGCCACGTCTCTGTAGAGTGCTCGAGAAGCTGGTTTTTGCTCTGCGGGCCAAAATCTTGAGGCAGTTTCGGGCTCTGAAGTGGTGTATCAGGGGCATGCATGGCCTAGTTATCAGGCTGACCACGTCAGAGCCTGCCCCAATGTTTTGCCCCGCAGAGCGATAATCGGCTGTTCACGTGCTCTACACAGACGTGGCCGCAGCTGTACATGTCATGAAATGAATTAAAGACACAAAAGTTTGATAACAAACAACCCATAACTTTATTCAACCAATACAGTACACAATTCACCTTAAAAGAACATTGCTCACACTAGAGAGCACTTTTGTAAATAGATATGTAATGTATATAAGTGAATTTTTCACTGCAGACTATGTCAACTATATGGTGTACGGTAGACTTCGCAGATAATTATCAGCTGCAATATGATCGTTTCATATCAACAGCAAATGTTGCCTTAGCTTCAGGTATGAGCACATCTGGGCTGAGCAAAATGTCAACACATGCTAAAGCCATTGCTTTAGCAGCAGTTAGTGTTGGTGGCTGGGCAGATGGATGGCCTGCAGCATCTGTGAACTCTTTTGTGTGGTTTGGTCCAGCTGTGTCAATGCGAAAGATAGGGTGAATGCTTGGAACTGTGTGGCACACATCACCCATGTCAGATGAAGCCACAAAAAGGTTGGCCTCATGGTTTCCATCATCAAACTTAACACCTGTGAAAGCAAGAGATACTTCAGGTAAGAGCACAAGTTGCATTGTGGTACAGAAAAAAAGACCCCCCTCCATAAAAACATTTGCAGCATAGAGCGAGACTATTTCAGCGCTTATGTGCTGTAATTATTGTACAGGGATTAACAACTGACATGCAAGAATTGGACCATATTGTGGCCAGCACATCTGAGTCACTGAAGAATACAGGGCGATCGCTGAGGGGGCCACATGCAGTCATTATGCACCATGATGGCTCTTGTTTTTATCGTACACTTGAACTCATCAGCTTAATGTCCCTAGCTCCCAACACTGGTAAAAAAAGCGCCACTAGCCATGAGCAAGGGATGTCACATTTCAATCACCCAGCAATGTACTTCAAGACCTTGAAAAGAATGACGACAGTGCACCATAAATTTTCAGCTTGAGCTATCGCACAGAAATTTAAAGGCAGTATCTGTGCTTGTATGTGCAAGCTGTCTGCCCCGGCTATGAAGAAATGCTTGTTCATTGAAGTGACCTACTAACTTTTATGGCAACTTTTAACGGGTCTTTATGGCCATTAATACACGTGTGCCTGACAAAATGTGCCAAATTTTTCTATGGCTTTTGCTGTATTAGTTGCCTGTGAATTGTTGGTAAACATAGCATTGTACAGTTAATACCAAAAGCTTTATTTGTAACGATATGTGAAAGTTCAAAATTATCCGTATGAATTGAACATTCCTTGCTATATGTTTCATATTCAATTCGAATATTTACTTGTAAATTTTTTAAACAGCAACAGTTTTGAATAAAAAATAATAAACAACGACATCATGTAAGCAGTGTCCAGCACTTTTTACACAGTCAACACCAACCGAAGCTATATACAACCCGAATAGCCACCACTCTCTTCAGTATTTTTTTTTTCCCTTTATTTATGTTTTGCCCCTTTTCTCACCCTATTTGACCCCACCCTCCCAACTATCATGATAGCCCCCTTTTGTTCTTTCTTACCACTTTCCCTTATTTTGTATTTGCTCTCTTCTCCACCACTTTCGTGGTAGCGGCAAAAGCAAGCAAAGCGTACGCACTAAGGAAGGAATATTTGTACAGAATTGTGAATTATTGTTACGCATTAAAATAACCTTGCCAGCACTGGTAGTAGATGGCTGTGCAAACAGCATTTGTGAGCATTGAACAATCGTGTAGGCAAACTGAAAAAAAAAAAAAAAGAAGAAAAGAATGCACCAAAATATCTTGGGCATGACTGGCCAAGATAAAGGCATCATGTTTCCATCAGAATAGAATATGTGCTTAAAGGGCCAGTAAACAACCCCAAGGTCTAAAAATTTTTGTAAAAAGAAATATGTACACTTTTACTTTGTGAACATGCTGCCACAAGAATTTTGCAAATACATGCTATATTAAGGAAGTTACAAGTTTAGAACATCGCGTTCAGCTGGTTTCAAATTTTCACATGGCCTCGCCACTCTTCTCCTTCAGAGGGAGGGGAAGGAGTCGCCCATCGTCGTGACTAAACCCACTTCAGCAATGTGACAAGACGTCAGCAATTGACATGATCGGAGAACTCGATCAGTCACAATGCACTTTCGCTTGCTGCGATGCCTCTTTTGTTTACTATTTACCTGGTGCCAATGCTTCTCTGCAACAGAGTCGCTCGATTTGCACCTGACAACGATTTGCAGCAAAACTGTGTTCGAAAACCGGGACATGAAGTTGGCCCAATTTTTCAAGAGTTTGATTTTTTTTTTAGGAGACTGTCGCGCTATCTGAGAGCAGCAACACAACACACAAATAATGCGCTTAATAGTGGGTGTGCTGATCAACAGGTGGCGCAACAATTTGCTCACTCCCAACAACATGTTCAGTGAAGTGTCCCAATTTCGATGCATAGAGCCTATGAATATTTTCCCAACTCGTATGATTGAATAGCTCTGTCGTAGCTGTGGGTGGAAACAGGAACTGTAGTTGACTTCACTACTGCGTGTTGAGACATAGTTTAGACCAATCGACAAGCTGCGTGCTGCGTCACGTCACCAATTACCGAGTTGTCACTGTGCGTGCAAGGAGCATTGGTCAGGCATAAGAAAGGAGCGCGAGAATGGTTTTTTGAAATGGCCGTTCTGCACAGCACACAGCTCTGTAATATTTAGAAAAAGTGATCGCTACGGTCTACTCTATGAATTACCGAGCTTGTTTAGGGGGGGGGGGGGGGGGAAGAGTCTGAGCCTGTTGACTGGCCCTTTAAAGGGGGATGGAGGGCGAAAACGACTGAAATTGTGATTTTTCAATTTTAATGGCGCAATATTCGAGCACTACTTACAAGTGCTTTCACAAAGTGGCGAGTTTGTACGCACAGTGGAAAGCATTTGAAAATAGCCTCAAACACGCCTGATCCCTCTACTGCACCACGGCAACTCGACCTTTAAAAGGCTTTTTCTGCGAACACCGATTTTTGTCAGAAAAGGAACATTTTCTCTGTAACCGCTGAAGCTATCAAATTCAAACTTTAGTAACTCCTTTCTGAATAACATGCACTCTTTCTGAAGCAAAAGTATGCTGATGCCACCAGAACAGTATTTTTTACGAATGTTTTTCGTTAAAAAATGCCCTAGAGTTCTAGTCATAAAACAATTATACTTTTAACTGAAGAATAGTCATGCCTACAATTATTTTCGTTCAGGACACATTGGGCACTCATAATAACCATAGGAGATTTTATCATTTTACATAGAAAATCGTTATGACAAAAATAAAAACAGTCAAATAATTTTTTTTAAATTTTTAGAATGGCTTCATATTTTTTGCCTTTTCACAAAACATCTAGTAAAATCCCCATTCAATCAACTTTCAAAATGGTGTTAAGTTTGCATTAAAAATAACAATGATAGACAGTAGCAGTTGCACACGTGTCTGTGCTATCCATCCCCCCTTAATTCATTGATAGTGTTAACTCCTTCTGTAAAGTTTTACAAACATGTTTGAAGGTGACTCAAATTTTTTTTTAATAGACAAAAGGTCTCACAATAGGTCCCATGCTTGTACACAAATTTCATTTCAGTGTGCTTCACACTCCCTGCAGCTAAAGTCATGCAGTGAACTTGGTGGTGGAAAAACTTTATAATTTGGAAAAACCTTATTAGTTAACTTGGTATCAAAATTACTTCTATGAACATACCGTTGTAGTGCACTGACCACTGAAATCGGCAGGCCAAAAGAGTGCATGCTGCCATATACTGATATCAATCCACTTGTGAACCAGATACCTTACAATCCATATGCTGTGCATTCTTTCATTAGAACAATGTGCAGTGCTATGCTATCATGATTCTTTGTTCAATATTAAACACAACACCAAATGTAGAAATGGTGATGTGCTGTTCACTGCTTTTACTACAGCTTTCACGATGCACTTGATTACTACAAGCAGTTCTGCTCTCTATATCCTCATTTACAAGTTACCATACTCAGTTCACTGGGCGTAAAATGAATGGCACTACAATCATGCACAAATAACGTAAATAACCCCTTTTTTTTTGCATAAAATAAACTTCCCAACTTCCCCTTTCCCCCTTTTCTTTTGTTTAGAAATTAGAAAACTTTGTGCATTCAATATCCAAAAGCCTGTTCTCTCTAATATTTGTATTCAATGTGATATTCTGACCTTTCGAACATTTTTCATTTGCTTATTATGTAAAAAAAGTTTCTTTATTAAATTCTATAATTACGGCATGGCACAACAATATTTAAATTATTTGCGATTGCAAAATTTTTGCTCACAAGATATTTTATACGAAAAACGAACACTCAGGCACGTGGCCTTGCTGTGGCTTTTAAGCAACTGATAATCATAATATGGTTAGCTTTTCGGCACTGCAGCATCCGAATTTTACTTTTGCGACCATATAGGTAATTGTTTGTGTGAAATTAAAAATAGTGATGCTATTCTAAAACACATTATCAGAACACAACAAGTACATACCGAACGATTCAGCATGCTTCTTGTAAAGACGTGCAAGCACAGAGTTGGTAACAACTGGCTTGAAGCTAAAGGACCGCGTCTCCTCCACGGTACAGCCCGTGGCTTCAGCACCAGCAGATACACAGGACATGACCTTTTTGCGCAATTCAGTCATCATGCCCACAGTTGGAGCACGGTACAAGATGTCCATGGCAGAGCGTTCAGGAATAATGTTAACTGCTGCACCTCCATCAGTAAATATGGCTGCACACAAAAGTAAAAGTCAACACTCATATTAATTTCAATGCACTATTCTAGTTACTTTAAAATGTATGAATTTTGAGAAATGATTATAACTCTCAATCATACTATAGTGACTCTAACACAGTTATAACAATTTCATACAAACACAAGCTGGTAGAGCAAGGCCTTCAAATTGCTAGCAGATAAATTGAAGTGCCCGGCATAAGTGCAATATTAATGAGAACTAACAGACAATGATGCCTGAGCATCAAGCTCTCATTACTCCATCAATCCTATGATTTGAGTGGAGGAGGCCCCCGCATTGTGCCAAAAGATTGATTGATAGATATGTGGGGTTTAACGTCCCAAAACCACCATATGATTATGAGAGACGCCATATTGGAGGGCTCCAGGAATTTCGACCACCTGGTGTTCTTTAATGTGCACTCAAATCGGAGCACACATGACCACAGCATTTTCGCCTCCATTGAAAATGCAGCCGCCACAGCCGGGATTCGATCCCACAACCTGCAGGTCAGCAGCCGAGTACTTTAGCCACTAGACCACCACGGTGGGCCAATGCCAGAACATTACCACCACAGTTCCTGTATTTAAATTTGCAAGAGATTCCTGACAGAAAGCTTTAGATAGTCCACAAACAGCTTTTAAACATTTTTGGCTTACCAGAAAAAAAGCGGGAGTGGCCTGAGGCCAGGATTATTGTGGCATCTGGTGATGTAAAGCTCAAGGAGGCACTGGCAGGCAGTCACAATAGCTGGAGCCTTGCCCTGAGCACTGATATCCCATTAACCAAGCCACTCAGCCAGATTGGCGAATAAGTTGAGTAATATCTAAGTATTTGTAGCTCCCTCACATTCAAGGAGCCTTACTTGAATTATGGTGCATAAAAATTCATAATATTGCATCTTAACCACTTCTACAATTAAAGAAATCACTGTTTGGGACCCTTCAAAGAGTCGAAAAAATAGAGCAGTAGTTTGTACCAGGGCTCTATTTGTATAATGCTCTTCTAATTTTTTTTGTTCATTTCTCCAGTTATAAATGCACTATATTTGTTAAAAGCTTGTATTTTCTAACTGCTGCCATGTATGTGGGCCCTCAGGCATTCTCAAGTGGTTTTTTTAACCACTTTTCACCGAAGAGACACCCAAGTGGTTGAAAAATAATATGTTGAAAATGTTGGAAATTAAAGGGACACTAAGAGAAACAATGAATTGATTTAGATTGATGAACTGCACTCTAAGAATTCTAATGCCATATGTTTCCCTATCATGAGTTCATTATTAGCAGAGAAAACCAAAGTTGAAGTTTCATTCTCAAATTTCGTGCCGACATCTTCATGCTAAACTTCAAAAATTTCAAAATACATTTTTCATATTTTCATGACAGTAGCTCAGTGAAATTTTCTGACTGAAATTCGAAAGCTAGTTCTATGGCAGCCAAAAATGACAATGTGCTCCATATTTATCGATTAGAAGCTACGTAGTACTTACGAGGCACCTTAAAAATCTATGATGTCACGGCGTTTGGTGTGCAAATCTCATGGTGGCATCTTCACCCACATTTGCTTTTCCCGCAATTTTTCGCTTACCAAGCTAAGTGTTCCAGCAACAGTGGTGTTTTTGTGATTGGGATATTGTACTTTACTAAGATGCAAAAAACTGTTGTGTATCCGTTTAAAGCTGCTGTCATACCCGATTTATTTGCATCTACAGAACTAGATCCATATTCCGTTCCCTATTGTCAATGAGTTTTATACTTATTAACATATACATCACTGTCAAATTACTTGTAGTAGCAAAGTGCACTTTTATGCTATCAACACCCTACAGTGAGGTACACCTGAACAAGTCAAAAGAGCCCCTCCTCCTGCTCCCCCCCCCCCCCTAAATGATTGATACACAGCAGCCGATCACTTCCACGACTAAACACACAGACCTTCATGCACTCTGCGTGCATGCTGGGTGAAACGATTAACACAAAAACAAAAGGAACACAGCACTTGTGTTGTCCTCATGTTTTCACGTTTTTCGTTACACCCAATGTGCACTGCCATATTATGCCTTAATAATCTACCATACATTGAAAGATAATAAAATGAATACATTCTTTGAAATTTAAGCAAGAAAACAGCAGTATTAAGCGAGAAATTTTTTAAAGAGATTTCATATAAATATACACTTTTCTTTATGGCCTGTTTGATTTTTTTTAACTCTACCCAATGCCATAAAACAAAAACTGATAAAAATGCCATAAAACAAAAGCTGGTATGATATAAGCTATTAAAATGCTCTACACTGAATGTTGACATTAAGTACTATGGAAATATTCTACTTGAGTTATTATGAATCCAGATACATTCCCAAAATCAAGTACATATGCATACCTCCTACAAAGCAGTTTGGCTTGATGTGCTGTCTAAGATATGACAGACCATTGTAACACATGACTGCTGCATCCAGTGCATTAATCCCATCCCAAGGAGCACCCGATGAGTGTGCTGGTTTTCCATGGTATGTTACACTGATCTGTAAAAAAAAAGAATGACCAAAGAAATGTATATTGATAAGCCTCTGAAACGTAATCAGTGGTAAACGAGTGTTTTCCACGATACACTACCACTGGCCTGTGAAGACACATTTTAAAAAAGAAATATTGTTAAAGTAATATCCAGCATAAGTTGATGCATAAAAATGAAGATTTAGTTACATTACATGTGTAATTCTACACTGACATGAGATGAATAATGTTATTCAATACAATGTCAACCCTATTAGCTTTGAAAGCACAAGTCCCCAACTAGCCATTTATGTTTAGTAATATCTGGAATTTCATGTGTCAAAATCACGATGTTGACAGAAAGACTAGGAATTTAAGGGCTCATTTTTTGCTCCTTCATAGTGATGGTTTTGTTCTGGCAGATTTCATGTCTTTAGGTAGTTTGCGAGGAATTATTGGTCAGAACTGCCGGCTAATTGTCAAAATATCATGTGCTACATGACAATAGCAGGCAAAAAAAGGCCGAAAATATAGTTAATTAAATTATTTTTTAAATTAACAGCTGCAGTTTTACACTCCAAAACCACCACATGATTATGATAGATACCGTAGTGGAGGGCTCCGGAAATTTTGACCATCTGGTGTTCGTTAACGTGCGCTGCCATCGTACAGCACGTGTGCCTCTGCAATTTTGCCTCGATCGAAATGCGACTGCCACGGCCGGGGTTGAACTTGCGACCTTCAGGTCAGTAACAGAGCGCTGACCAGAAGGTCAGCGCTCGGCTGCTGACGAAAAATTATAATAAAACACACTATAGTGGGCAACACTGCATCAACTTTGACCACCCAGGATTCTTTAACATGCCCTTAGAATTAAGCACACAGAGCTATCAGGATGCAATAGTCTGCAACTTCAAAGCTTATTGGCTACCTGCTATGAAAGATTGCATATTCAAGAACACAATGGCCCCAGAACAATTTTGAGAGAAACTATTGAAGCTTCACACAATGAGGTCTGTCTTCAAAATAAACATTGTGGCAAGAATATGATTTTAGTAACTAAAAGATAATGCCAGTCACAAGCAAAAAGCTAGAGGAGCTCTGCTGTAAGATACTCAGTTTTTTAAAGACCTTTTCACGCTGAACATCTTTAGCGGACATTACAGTTGGAAACTAACTGAAGAATACTGTCATCAAGCACAAGGCTGTACAATTTAATACAACGGTGCCGCAACATTCCTATAAAGAGCCAAGTAAATTATTAACGTAACAATATCCAACCACTACATTTATTAATGAGAACTGATAGACAATTATGCCAAAGAAATGACTGATTGATTGATATGTGTGGTTTAATGTCCCAAAACCACCATATGATTATGTGAGATGCCGTAGTGGAAAGCTCCGGAAATGTAGACCACCTGAGGTTCTTTAACGTGCATCCAAATCTGAGCACACAGACCTACAGCACTTCCGCTTCCGTCAAAAATGCAGCCGCCATAGCCGGGATTCGATACCGCGACCTGCGGGTCAGCAGCTGAGTACCTTAGCCAATAGACCACCGCGGCGGGGCAATATGCCAAAGAAAGTATAAGAGATATTGTTAAGTTAATTTAATGTTAATATGAGCAAAGAAAAGTGGATGAAAAGATAACTTGCGGTGGGGAGGGACCGAACTTGCGGTATGTATGTGCATTAAACGTGGGAGTGTCAGTCAGCGCCGCTTGTTGCCATAGTGCAAGTGTGGGACACTAAATTTTTGCCTACTTTTGTCACGAAGTACGTGATCCTATCGCAAGCTGGCAGCTGATTAATAATCGTTCTCATGCCACCTGAATGCACTAAGTATGCCAGCACGAGACCCTTGCTATGAATAAAAGAAAGAAGCATTAATTTAAGGACTGATTTACTTTATTAGAAAGAATATTATTAATGAGAACTGACAGACAATGATGCCAAGGAAAGTATAGGAGATGTTATTAAGTAATTGTAATGTAAATGTGAAGAGAGAAAAGTGGATGAAAAGATAACTTGCTGCGGACAGGGGCGGAACCTACAATCTTCGAATGGTGGAAGCCAGTGTGGTACACAATGGCGCTTCAAGGAACGACGCTCCAGGAACTAGTTCTTTTTGGGAGGAATGGAGGAGCACCACCGTTCCTTTTCGGATCGTTGGAACTTTAATGGTAACTCATTACGTTTTGGAAGGAATGGCAGAGGGCACAGCGTTTCTTCTGTAAACGTTCCTCGATATTCAAATAGTGTATGCCCACAGCACCAACTAACTATAAACGGTTCTGGAAACGTTGCACAACACATAATGCAGAATACGGTGGACGGGCGACCGCGTAAGGCAAACAAATTGAACGCTCGCCTGTCAAGTCACTGTGATGCATCCTGGTTTTCACTTCAAGGCACCCAACGGGGGTGCCGGGAAGTGAAAGACATCGAGACTGACCATGTGCGGGAGCAACTGTAGATCTTTTACAGCAGAGCTGTTATGCTCGAGGTTTGCTGTGTGTTGAAGAAAAAAAATATCATGAACCGGCGTGCACTTTCTTAGTCCTCCACTACATTCTCTGCTTCACTCTCAGTACACGTGCACCGATTTGTCCAGCGAGGAATGCAATGACTCTGATGGGCGAGAGAAAGAGTATAGATAGCGAACTAAAAAGATATCGAAAAAGCTGAGTGGCCATCCTAATGAAGTGGGATGTTGAGGGAATGATTGGCTACCATTTTTCTGCAACATGCCTGCACTCTATAGCAGCGCATAGCATAGCCTCAATTGTTTAGTACAGAATGTCAAGGGGTTGAGCAAGGTAAGTAAGGGTGAGGAAGATAGAAAGGAGGGATGGAAAATAAGTATAGAGACAGAAAGAGATTAGTAAAACGAGAGGGACGAAAGAAAAGAAAATATATAAGGTGAGAGAACGACTACATTGATTGATTGATTTGTGGGGTTTAACGTCCCAAAACCACTTTATGATTATGAGAGACGCCGTAGTGGAGGGCTCCGGAAATTTTGACCACCTGGGGTTCTTTAACGTGCGCCCAAATCTGAGCACACGGGCCTACAACATTTCCGCCTCCATCGGAAATGCAGCCGACGCAGCCGGGAATCGAACCCGCGACCTGCGGGTCAGCAGCCGAGTACCTTAGCCACTAGACCACCGCGGCGGGGCAAGAGAGAGAACGACTACAGGGAACAATATAAAGAGAGGTAGGAAAAGAAAGATATATAAAGAGAAAGATAAATATAGGGAGAAAGGAAAAAGATAAAAACAGAGAAAGAGATATCCCAAAATATGTTCGCTGACTGCAGACAGGCCACTTCATTTTAGTAGCAAATATGTATAATGTACATACATTTTTCTACTCACACTGAAATATTGATATGTGGTGTTTAACGTCCCAAAACCACTATATGATTATGAGAGACGCCGTAGTGGAGGGCTCCAGAAATTTCGACCACCTGGGGTTCTTTAATGTGCACCCGAATCTGAGCACACGGGCCTACAACATTTCCGCCTCCATCGGAAATGCAGCCACCGCAGCCGAGATTCAAACCCGCGACCTGCGGGTCAGCAGCCGAGTACCTTAGCCACTAGACCACCACGGCGGGGCCACACTGAAATATTGAATCAACGCTCATTAATTGCTTAGATACTGTGCCTTTTGATGTGGTTTCCTGTGCTAGAAATTTATATTAATACATTAGTGGAGATTTATATTCGAATATCTGAAGTGCTGATGCCTGATTGCGCTATTGAAATAGCGCAAACTGGCGTGGAAAGGTGGAAAGTCCCACATGTGAGACTTTGAAAGTGTCGAGCACGTAATTTGGAGTTAGACATACGTGTAGTAAGTCTGGCAGTCTCTAGAAAATTCGTCTAGAAGCATTTATTTAGGTTTATTTATCTACATAGAAAATCCTCTGTGACGTTAAATTCATGTAAAATATGCAGCTCGGTGTGAGCTTTATATTTCTCACTTTATTTTGAAAAAGGATTATCGGACACTACATTTTCATTAAAGAGTCGCACGTAACGTTAGTATAATAGTATGTCCCAATTTTTGCAATGCAACTCTGACGAGTTCCATTTACACTTGCTAGCTTCACATATACCAGAGTTGGTATAACATGACGTAAATGGATGACGAAGGTAAATGACACGTTCAAACATGATAATCATGACATTCACATGCGTGTCATGTGAAACATGATTACATGCTATGCTCATAGCGCACTCGCAACCATTTCGCTAGCTTCACATATACCGAATTTGGTATTATGTGACATGAATTAATGATGAAGGTATATGACTGGTGCAAACATGATAATCACGGCATGCCTCGGGCTGTTGTAGTTAAGGACGGTTATAAAAAAGGGTACAAGTGGACAAGTCATTGACAGTTAAGTGTGAAGGATGCTTCTTGTTTGCGTTAACCTTCAGAAAATATGCGAATGATAAATAGGACCTCTGCAGATGGAGTGACCATTCATTCGACTCAGTGTAAAGGCTTTCTACGGGTCTAGTGCGAAAGGGGCCTTAGATAGGCGAATGCCGAGATGATGGACAGGATCATGCATCTGCAAAGCACTTGGTGTGGTGGAATGATAGATTACTGCCCCGTAGTCTAAACAAGTACGTATGAGGCTTTTCTACAGATCTATCAGACACTTCTTGTCACTGCCCCCGTAGTGCATGACAATACTTTTAGGACATTCTTGTTTTTATTCATTTATTTTTCAAATACTTAATGAGTGATATTGTCTCAATGAATCACAAGTACTGCGGGGTTCATTAAGCCACCGAGTAGCTAGCTCTAGGGCGTTGCGTCAGTAGTGGCTGGCTCTCGAGCGGAGAAAAGCACGCGATCTTCTTTTTTTCTCCAGATTGAGAGCCACTCTACCAGTCGACCCACTATGTGTAAGTGGCATTATCCCCCTTTTCGAAAACAAAAAAAATGTCGCAAAAGAGGGAAAGAAAAGTACATAGCACCACCCTGATATTACAGCATAGGC